CTCATTATTTCCGAAGTTCAGATGCTGGCTTTGCATCCTGAGCTGGGTGACGTTGTCCACATTGCTGTCTCTGTGCCTCAGCACCCTTTCCTTTACATTCACACCTCAAAATAAAAGGACCTTTTAAACAAGATCCTAGTAAGACATCTAATTTACATGATTTATTATTAGGAAATGGTAGGTAGACAGTGAAAAAGAAGAATCAAGGAATGTAATGTTTTTGCTGTACTTTGGAAAATGTAAAATAACTGAAATAAGACGACTTCTTAGAATCATCAGGATGGTACATTTCTCCATGAATAAAAGGAATTCTTTTGCATTTCCCTAGAGACATAAGCAGGAGTATAGGAGTATAACTAACAAGAAAAATAAATGGAATGAAAACGGAAGGGGAAAAGTTTAGGAGATTGTGGTTAAAGTATACAGAGAAAAACAAAACAGAAAATAAAGAGATTAATTCACACCAAGTAAGAGCACTGAGTGCCACTGAGCAGCTGGTAATTGGATCTGCTAACTACCGTTGCATGGCTGAGTTCTCCATAGTAAGTAGTTTGTTGTTTCTCTTGCTTTTTTTAATATTTATTTATTTTTTTATTGTACTTTAAGTTCTGGGGTACATGTACAGAATGTGCAGGTTTGTTACATAAAAAAGTTTTTAGAACATTTTAAGGGCATGATTCCTGCCCTTTTAGTGCATTGCAGGACATACCCTTCTTCTTTCTCCATGGTAGAATCACAGATGATTTTGTTATTGGTACCAGTAAAATTAAGCTTTTAAGAATTCTAATCCACATACATATTATAATTTAAATTGTATTAATTATGTATACACATGCCATGGTGGTGGTTTGCTGCATCTATCACCCCATCATCTCCATTAGGTATTTCTCCTAATGCTATCCATCCCCAACCCGCCCACCCCCCAGGCCCCGGTGTGTGATGTTCTCCTCCCATTGTCCATGTGTTCTCATTGTTCAACACCCACTTATAAGTGAGAGCGTGCAGTGTTTGGTTTTCTGTTCTTGTGTCAGTTGGCTGAGAATGATGGTTTCCAGTGTCATAAAAAAAGATTCATTCATGTCCTGTTCAGGGACATGGATGAAACTGGAAGCCATCATTTTTTGCTTTTTTTTACCTGACTTCCTTCATGGGTTCCCTGTAGAATCAGGTACTTTCTTAAAGTTTAGAAAATTTAGGGTCATCAGATGAGGAAATGAAACTATTCTGTAAGATTCAGTTGTCTGGAGTAGTATTATGATATTTACAAAACAATATCACTGTTTATGATGATACATAAATATACCTAAGATTTCCTACCTAAGGAAATACTACAGTTGATGTATAAATATCAAAATATCATTTCAAAACAGTGAATTTATTTCCCCCATTCTTAAACGGAAAAGAAAATGTATTTGACATTTTTGAAGTGACACAGCAGCTGGAAACTATGCTCAGTACATTAATTAAAACGCTTACACAATTATCATGTTTATATGTAAAAGGAAACAACATTTGCCTTGTTTCCAACTATGTTGAGAAAAATTGGTTGGCTTTTAGAAGTGCATTACAAAAAAAATTTTTTTAAGGCATCTTTAAGGATGTTGTTTATTGGATATCAATTTGGTGCATTATGCCAGGTGCATCTTATTTGATATCCATAACCCTATAAAATAAGCATTGTTATCCCATTCTCCAGGTTAGGAAACTGTGGCTCAGGGAGTTAATTCACCCACAGTTAAACAGAGAGTGGAAGAGTCAAAATTTAATTAGATGTCTCTGATACCACAGTCTGTAATCTTACCATGGACTTCATTTTTTTTTCATGAAAAAAGAAAGCAGAAATAAAAATATGAAGGTATCCTAAAATGGAACATGCTGGCAGTACACAGGTTCGTGCCTGTATTTTGGTGAATGAAAGTGAACTTAACAGTCTATATCTATGATAGCCTATAATAGCATCTTCAGAAATGGAGCCTATACCAGTGGTTGGAAGATTCTCAGGGGAAAGTGTCAGTTTAGATAACCTCCCTAAGGAATGTGATGCTATTTTTCAGAAAAGAGTGGTATGGTTAAATAAGATTTATCTGGAACTCTGAGGAGCCCTCCATATTAATTTAGGTCTCTCAGGAGTTACCCAGGCCTTGATCATCTATAAAATGGATTTTCTGAGATTTTTTAGTGAACATTATTAAGAACTGCAAACACAAGAGGCCCCTGCAAGGCCTCTGTTTTCTTGGTTAAATCCTCATTTATTGATTGATTTGTTTACTCATTTAAATTTATAAAACATATTGGACACTGGTACAGTGCAATATAAATATGTTTCCTGCCTTCAGATGAAGGATAGATAATTCCAATGCAATATGCCAGTTGCTGTACCAGTGATGCTCAGATGTCTTTAAGGTTCCACATAAAGTGGAATTAGGATGGCCAAAGTCATACTTGAGATTTGCGGGGGAGTGGAGCATTGTAGAGAACAGCCATTTGCTATTCACCACTGGCAGAGATGTAGTTTTTAAGCCATGGCATGACATCATAAGGAACTATGCCACCCAATCTTGTGTGCCCTTGTAAATCCCAACTTGTTTGAGATGTAGCTCTAGCATCACCCTCTTCATGGAACTTTTTCTTTCTCCCCACTTACTTTCAAGTAATTGGTTCGTATACCAACTAGTAGTGTAGTGTTTTCTAAACCTAATTCACTTATCTCTTTCTTAACTTTTTCCGATAGGCTCATTCCACTGATAGCAATTGGATCAGATTCCCAAAGAGCCTGTATACACACATAGCGAGCTAATCGTGACAAACACAAAGCCTCAAAACACATTCATTTCCTATTAATAAAAGGATCACCTTATTTCAATCACTTGTCAACTTCTTGATCCATGTAGTTTGTACCTAAGAGCTGTTTTTAGACTTGCCCTATGGGCCATGGGAAACACCCATTTCTGTTCTTTTAGGGCTGTCATATTATAGCATAGACACTTTTGTATTCACATAATTTTTAAAAACACAAAAGAAAGGAAGCTATGTTCATTGTATTTCTTAAAAGAAGTTAGTTTATTAAGTCAGTCATTCCCATCTAATTTTCCTGGTTATACACAGTATTCTTCACAGTTTTAACCTGAAAACACAATATAAATTTAATTATGGTTATAGACCAGTCACTTTTGCTTAATTACAGGGAGTAGGCTTTCCAGTTACAGCCATATCGGAATTTGAAGTGCGTTAAATATATGGTAGATGTTAGTTCTTTTAGTGCTTCTTAATGTTTTGATATTCTAGGTAATTAGAAAAATATGTGAGCACTTTGCTAAACTTTATGGACATATGTCTATTTGCTTTGTCTTGATAACACTTAAATTTCTAAAATAATACAAAAAAGCCACTTGTAGAGTGATGAATATATAGATACCATATGCCTATATTATAACCACATCCAAAACTATTTCTCTATATTTATTTATCTTAGCAAGAAATTCGTTTGGGATTCAGAATATGGCTGTTTACAAAATGTGAGCACTAATGACCTCTTTGGAGAATGAGATCCATGAGTTGATATCAGTAGAGCTTTTGGTTTTTTGGTTAAAGCAGAGACAAGCAAGTTTGCTAAAGGCCTTGGTACAGGTTGGGAGAGGACAGGGACAATGGCAGGTCACATGACGCCTGCTGCTGTCCCCTTGCCCCCTAAAGGCTGAGGGACAAGTTTTAGGCTGAGAATGAGAGACCTGTATGGCCAAAGGACTGCCTCAACAATTCTTTAATATAGTTATTTAGATTTTCCAGATACAAATTAGATCTCTCTTTGCTTTGTTATTATGATGTTGCCTGCCTGAAAACAGGACATCATTTAATTGATGATCTGATAATTTTGCCATTAGCGCATAACCCTCAACTTTGGTTATTCATATTTATGGCTGAATGAAAATGTTTTCAGGACATTTTAAGGGCGTGATTCTTGCCCTTTGAGTGCATTGCAGAACATACCCTTCTGCTTTCTCCAATGTAGAATCACAGATGCTTTTGTTACTGGTACCAATAAAATAAGCTTTTAAGAATTTTAATGCACATATATATTATAATCTAAATTGTGTTAATTTCATTTTCTGGTATGATTTCAAAAATATGCACATTGTCTATAAAAATATTGCCATTGTCCAGACATACGGCCTTAAACTACACTTAAGTCATGTCTATATAAAACTGAAATGGCGATGCCTTAGATATTAAATTGTTTAGTATGTGAATGGGCTAACAGTCATCAAAAGCCTCATACAACATTCAATACATGATACTTTTTTTTCCTCCATTGATAACATCACATTGGACTGGAATGTAGAGAAAATCACTAACTTCCCTAAACCACATTTTATTTATTTCAGAAACAAGGCAATTGGATAGTCTCTAAGGCTCCTTTTGACTAACTGTAACACTTATGTTTCTGTGAATATTTTGATGATGGTGCAACAAAATGGATATACATGATTATGCATATCGATTTTTCTTTTTTTGAGATGGAGTTTCTCTCTTGTTGCCCATGCTGGAGTGTAATGGCACAATCTCAGCTCACTGCAACCTCTGCCTCCCAGGTTCAAGCGATTCTCCTGCCTCAGTCTCCCAAGTAGCTGAGATTATAGGTGTGTTCCACCATGCCCAGCTAATTTTGTATTTATAGTACAGACAGGGTTTCACCATGTTGATCAGGCTGGCCTCAAACTCCTGACCTCAAGTGATCCACCCAACTCAGCTCCCAAAGTGCTGGGATTACAGGTATGAGGTACCACCCCAGCCCATATTGATGTAATCGGGGACAAGTGATGCTATGCTACGATAATGATAAGTTAAGGAGATCCTTACTTTGAAATTGTTTTATTCTTTCTTATTTATACTATTAAGAAGATAGGAGAGTTAGAAAAATGTATATATTTTCCACCACAAAGTAGAATAAGCTCAGTGGGATACCTAGGTCTTGAATAAAATGAGTAGACTTCAGATTTTTTCCCAATAACATGGATTGCCTCACCATTCTAATGCTAGCTCTGGAACAAAAGACACTTTTAACTGAGTGCAGCAAGTACTTTCTTTTTTTTTTTTTTTTTTTTTGAGACGGAGTTTCATTCTTGTTACCCAGGCTGGAGTGCAATGGCGCGATCTCGGCTCACTGCAACCTCTGCCTCCTGGGTTCAGGCAATTCTCCTGCCTCAGCCTCCTGAGTAGCTGGGATTACAGGCATGCACCACCATGCCCAGCTGATTTTTTGTATTTTTAGTAGAGACAGGGTTTCACCATGTTGGCCAGGATGGTCTCGATTTCTTGACCTTGTGATCCACCTGCCTCGGCCTCCCAAAGTGCTGGGATTACAGGCTTGAGCCTCCGCGCCCAGCCAGCAAGTACTTTCTATAAGAGATTTCTTTTCATAATTTACCATTCGGCTGAACCAACCTTTAATCCAGTTGGAAGCTCTAAAATTCTAACATTCAGAAGCATTCAAAAAGAAGACCAAGGAAGAGAAGGCTATATATTTATTTCAGCTTGTATTGTATTGTGCAGAAAGGCAAATAATCTAGCTAATTTACTTTCTGTCTAAGAAAAACCTTAGGAGGTTCAGAAAGCACCTTTTAAGCAGTTTGGGTTCCACCATGCCATTTGGGTAAAATGTCATTATTTAAAATATATTGCTTTGTTTATCTGATAACTTAATTCTGGAAAAGCTAATCCATCTAACTTTGTTCATGGAAATATTAAAATGATTCAGCTGGATGGTTAATTTTGGTAATCAGGGATTATAAACTCACTTCACAGAATTTTTAAACAGGTTTTGACATTCCTTTCCCATAAGAAAACCCTGTATATATTTGACCTTTGGATTTCAGCCAACCTTGTCATTTTTTTTCTGCAGCTTGGTAGAGAATTATGTTCCTAAGCCATTTTTGGCTCGCCAGCCTTTTTTCTCCCTAGAGTCACCACTTAGTACTAGAGCACAAGGTCAGAATAAGGAAATTGAGGGAAGACTGGAGTTCTTTCATTAAAACGAACTCACTGGATAAAGATACATAAGACAGGGGAAACACTACCCCCAACTCCAACACACACACATGTTGCAGAAAGAGGATTATCATTTGGCTGTTTAAATTGAATTATGTGGCAAAGTACAGGGTAAATCCAGAGTCAGGACTTGCAGTCTCAAAGTTCAAAGCCACTTAATGAAAAACAGAACTCTTCATCATCCTCAAAAAGCATTTCCTAAACAGCCAATTGCATGTGGTGCTGCTATAAAGGGAATTACATAGACCTAGCCTGTGACCTCTAGAAAGGCATTAAAAGTTTAGAAATAAAATACTTATAGTGTTGTCAAGTCACTACACAAGCATTTTAGCAAATCTCTATTTAGAAAAATCATTGCCAGGTACTATGGCTGATTCCTATAGTCCCAGTACTTTGGGAGGCTGAGGTGAGAGGTTCATCAGAGCCTAGGGGTTTGAGGTCATAGTGAGCTATGATCACACCACTGCACTCCAGCCTGAGTATTCAAAACAAATAAATACATGGAAAGAAAAAGTATCATAGATGAATATATTTAGAAAGCTATACTAATAAAAAATAATTGATGAGTTTTAATGGAAAACCCATCCCATTCAATGCAGTTAACTCACATAAAAGTTTGGTAACATAAAGGGCACTTTTTTATTCTCCTGGGAGGGTTCTTTACTATAGGGTTGCACAGACATTAAAATGGATCATGGACATAATTCAGAGAAGTACCAAAGACAGTAGGGTGTGTGTTTTAAGTAGATGATTCTATGAATATTCTGTAGAAAATGAAGTTAAAAGCACTAGTTAGACTTTTCACTTTTTAGCCTCTCACTAGTGATAATAAATAATGACCATATCAATGAAAATACACATTTATTGTTAATGTATTATGTGCCAGACACTAAGCTTAGTACACTATATGGCAATTACTGAATTATCTCAATAAATTCTTATAACAATCTCATACCATAGATAATATCACCCATTTCTCATACCATAGAAAATATCACTCATTTTCCTAGGGAGGAATCAGAGGCTTAAAGCTAATATCTGAATACTTGTCTGTAGGGCTGCAAAGCTGATCCTCCTAGCATGCACATGTACTGCTCAGAGCCATATCATAAGACTTTTATTTCATTTGGAAAAAAAGTATTGTCCTTTGAGACATTTTTATTCATTTAATTTTGTATGTGGCTCTGGTTTGAAGATAACTTGATTGTATTAGAATATTTATCTACACTTACAAGCAAGTTATATTTAGCAAATGACATAGATTCCCAAGGCAATAAATCATGCCATTTGTCATTTTTCTAGAATGCCTCAGTTTACTTAATCATGATCAGTCAATTATTTAGCAGTCTGTGCATAAGGGAGAATATATTTTAACTTTTTTTCCTTTTATGAGCTGGTAATTGGTAAAATGATGAGGGTTTCCACATTTGCCTTTGCAAACTATAAGCAACTAGTAGTATATTTATTTTGTGTATCGATAATTACCTCTCTTTATAATAGTAATTTATTTTGTTTGTGTGTGTGTGTGTGTGTGTGTGTGTGTGTGTGTGTGTGTGTGTGTCTGTGTATCCCAGCTTGGAATAATGGACTGATGTGTTAATTCAGGGAAAACATCAGAAATAACTGGAAAACATAAGGGAATACTACTCTTATATTTCTAGCTTTCCACTTGATTTTGATATACCAAATGTAGTCCACCTAAGACATTGTTGTTACCAGTCACTGGTGGGTTTTGTTCTTTTCTTACATTTTGTCCGACAAGACATAGTTTTCAAAGAGGTGAAATGAAATTTTATGGTAGTTCAGCTTAAAGAATGGCAGGAGGGACTGGCCTTGATGAGACATGATCATTATCCTTGTCATTTTAATATATTTCCTTTAATAGTCTCACTTGAGGCAAAAACATACACTATCCTGCCTGTAGTATGCAAATAGAAAAAATATGGTACTTTCTAATGACATAAAGTCAGAACGGGTTTTGGGAATAACCCTTAGTCCTAATAAATAGGGTAGGATGGTCCATTCAAAAATATGATTTAAAATTCAGTTCATTAACATATGGCATCTACTTTTTTAAAAAACTCTCATGCTCCACACCCTCTTTTAGTTAGAAACATTAGTTTATGCTTCTGAAGTTTCAGCTGCTGCTCTTTAAATAGCCTGGCTGCCTTCTTTTTTCCTTTTTATTACATAGTACTTTCCCAGGGTAAGTGATAAATAAAGCAGGAGGGTTGGTCATAAATTCTCTTCCTCTCTTTCCCCTCTATCCTACCTCAGGTTATTTTTAGACTAGGATCTACCACAGTGTGCCAGGACTCCGGTCAGCATCATACGCGGTGGTTTGAGATTGGGAAATGCTTGCAGCCTGGGAGTCTTCCCTGCTTTAAGCTCTCACTTCAAACCTAAGCAAGGGCCTGGGGTGGGAGTAAGAGCCTAAAACAAGAACTTGAATGTGCAATACCACATTATTGCTAAGGAACCCGCCATGACAAGTAATGAGAATTCTTGACCTGGTTTTGAAGATATGTCATAGGGCCGATTGGAGAGAAAAATCATCAGTAACTTAAATCCTTTTCTCTTTCCATCCCTTACTCTTCTTCACATCTGTTAATGAGGATTCTGTGGAACACTTAAACGCTTTCAGGTTTAGCAAGAGATCTTCTAATAGCAAGAGGAAGTTCAGCCCTTGGCCAAAGAGATTAAAAAATTTAAACACACTTGGATGTACTGAATTTATGAACTTGGCTTCCAGAAAGGGAACATCTTAGTTGCACAGGCAGCAAGAAAATTAACTGCTCTGTGCTGTGGAATACAGGAAGTTAATAGGAGTTCAGATTGAGGAGGCAGAGGCCTGGGAAGGCTTGTTGGAAGTAGTAACATTTGGTTGGATGTAACATTTGTATAAGGTTTCAATGGGCCAGAGAACATGAGAGCATTCAAGGGAAACTGCAAGAATAAGGCTTGGCTGAGTGAAAGTTTGTCTGTTTTCAGTAAATTTCAAATAGTCCTCTGTGTGTGTGTGTGTGTGTGTGTGTGTGTGTGTGTGTGTGTGTGTGTGTGTGTGAGAAAGGTTGTAGTGTGAGGAGATAAAAATAGAGAAGTAGTGTGAGTTCAATCTAAGGAACCAGGAGAGACACATTAATGTGTCTGGATTGGACTTTGCAGGCTTTCTAGATTTGCCGAAAGTCCTTGGGCAGACAAGTGACATAATCTACTCTGGGCTCTTAGAAGGTAACTGGTAATGGTGTAGAGCACAGATTGAAGGGGCTGAAGCTGGAGGCACACAGATCAGATGAGAGCCCTTGCAATAGTCCAGGTGGGAGATTTTGATCACCTACAATAGCAGGAAATTGGAAGTCACTGGGAAGCTGGGATCAAATTTGGAAACTGATTCAATGTGAGCTATGAAGATGAAAGAGACCTGAAAGATGACATGCTTGCGAACTGTGATGCTTTCAGATTATCTAGAGACCACAGAAAGAGTTCAGTTATGGATATCTCTAGTTTAAACTGCTGTCAAAGGCAGTGGAAAATGTATGTATGAGACCACAAATGAGAACTGAGAGCTGAAAATAGAGGTGGGGGGGTAGCAGCAAGAAGTAAGGACAAGAGCTAAGTCATCGGGTGCCATTAGGTATAGAAATATATAAACAAGGAAAAAACTGAGAGAACTTTGAGAAATGTTCTCAAAGTAGTAGTTGGAGGAAGATTAATTTAAAAAAAAAAAGAGAATGACTGATTAGAGGCAGAGGAGATAAACCTCTAAAATATCACATCAAATGGAACAGGGGAGGTGGGTGTTTCAAGGACAAAGGTGAATAACTATTACTAATCATGGAACACTCCTTGGGGAGTCTATGTGGACCGGGATAATATGTTAAATTTCATCACATAGTGCTTTTGAGTCTCAAAAATTCCTTGAAACTGTTAATTTTCTTTCATACGACTCTATTTACCAACCTGAGTAGTCTCTGCCACAACCCATCCAAACCTAAGAATATCCCCAAAGTCTCTTTACCCTCTTCTGCTAAACATGATCTTTTTCTTTCTTCCTTGGCCTCCTGTGGCTCTCTTTTCACATGTGTATGTCTTCTTTCCCCAACTGTATTAAATGATTTTCAGGGCAAATATTGTATTTTCTTCAGTTTTATTTCTGCATTTATTTATTTAAAAATTTCAACTTTTATTTTAGATTCATGGTGTCCATGTGGAGGCTTGTTACATGGGTATACTGCATGATGCTAAGGTTTGGGATACAACTGATCCCATCACCCAGGTAGTGAGCACAGTATCCAGTAGGTAGATTTTCAACCCTTTCCTCCCTCCCTCCATTTGGAGTCCCCAGTGTCTATTATTCCCATCTTTATGTCCATGTGTACATAAAGATGTTTAGCTCCTGCTTATAAGTGAGAACATGCAATGTTTGGTTTTCTGTTCCTGCATTAATTCACTGAAGATAATGACTGCCAGCTGCATCCATGTTGCTGCAAGGACATGATTTCATTTTTTATGGCTGCATAGTATTCTATGGTGAAACACTGTATTTTAAACTCATCCATTTGTGCCTCAAAGTGTAGCAAAGTGATTTGCACAAAAAGGTGCTCAAAATGGTTTTTAAAAACCATAACTTGAAATTTGGCAGCATGTATTAAGTGTCATGTAACAGTTACTTCCTTTGACACATAATGCCTCTTCTGGGACTATATTCTACAGAAATAATGTGAAATGTTAAAATGTCATATGCACGAAGATACTTCCCAGAGTTATTTCAAAACAATTCAAAAGTCCAGTATTGTAACAGTGGAATGTTTATGTGAATTGTATAGGTATGTCATTCAGTGGAATCATGCAACCTTTAAAAACTATGAAGACTATCAAAATAGAAATCTAATTAACATTTAAAAAGAAGCAGGGTATACAATGATTTGTGCATTATACTTTCAAATGTATAATGTGTATGTGAGAAATATTGAAAGGGAATAAATTAAAATTATAAACTTTAAGACAGTAGTAGAATTGCAAGTAATTTCTTTTTAAAATTGCTATATTGTACTAATATTATTGTTACAAGTTGTTTTACATAAAAGTAATGTTTTATTTCCAATGGAAGACCTAATACTGTGCAGTGAGCTTGGAAGATTACTTGGAACAGAGATTTCTACTAATGAGCCCTGACCTTAGAATCAATACCTCTGCACTCTGGGTAGGATCCTTCTCTTGTTTCCACACAGTCATCTTTAACTTTACATCGTCAGTTCAAATGGCTGGAATAGATTAGATTAAGGCAATACTTAAAGCACAGGCCCTCCTGGAAGTGGCTGAAAGTTGTCCTCTTTAAATATGCTAGTCATTACCAGGCTATCGGGAACCATTAGTAGCCCATAGTCGTGATGACCATACATTGATCAATAGCAGCACTTTGTTTCATCTCGTAATTTTGAACAAGGGAAGCACCTTGTTCTTTAACTCTTGGCAGTTCAAAAGTTAAAAGAGAAAGAGAGGAAGAGAATAGTTAAGAAGGAAGGCGGAGAAGCAAAATAAGTGGGCTGTGACAAGAAAAGACGGAGGCAGAGAAGAAAGGTTTGTAGCAGTAAGATACGTGTGTCTACCTCTCTCTAATGTTTCTCTCTGATGTTCCCTTTCTTCACCATTTTTTAAAATATGTCTCCCCTGCTGCTCATTGGAGACTTTCAAACAGAAGCACTGCAGTTTCAAAAGCTGTGACTATTTTTGATCTTTCATCTATATTATGAGGTGGTCTTGGACAGAGGGAGATCCGTTCTCTTGATTTACATAATATACTGTACCAAAAGTGGGAGGTTTAGCATCACAGGCAAAGACAAGTACAAAATAAGGGGTAAACAGAATACAAAGAGTGTGGGCAGGCACCAGTAGCCTTTTTCACACTGTGGTCCCTAGCTCTGGGTTCGAAGAGGCTGGTGCAGATGAGTGAGTCCTTTAGCTGTGCTACCTCGGCCTGTCTCAAAATTCCAGACCAGATGTAGGACCTTCAGTTCCACCACCATGTAGACTGCATAGCTGCTGATGGAAGGTGCAGTACATCTGTTTGTCAGTCAGCTCAGGACAGTTGAGTTGCTGACTCTCCCTGTGGGTGAGTGAAGAAGCCAGCTCAAGCTTCTTGACATTATGCAGGCCCAGCAGTGAACTCTCACGTTAACATTAATGTGCAATTTGCCTTTTTACCCATTCTAGGTAACCTATAAAGGATAGTGAACTTTAAAGAAATATCAAAGTAAAGAGGTGCTTATTTTTTATTACTGAAATCAAACAAGTATTATATTGATTCAGGTTTTAAGACTGGATCTGAAAGAAACTGACCCAAATTTTTCTAATGGTATTATAATATAACCTGTAATATAACAATGAAATATAAAATATGTAAAGATGTAGCCTTCTTATATGCTTAGGTTGCTCATAAATTGAACAATGAATTTCTAGAAAAAAGTAGTCATGCCTAGTCTTGCTCAGGGATACCATTAGACTAGTTCTTTATCTACGCCACTGGTTTGCAAGGGAAAAGCAGCATCCCTAGGCCAGGAC